GGCTCCATTCTATTTTTTAAAATTATGCCTGAGTCGAAGAATCTTAGCGCATGCACGAAATCCTTTTTTACCGGTAGCGTCGAAATACTAGGGTAGATTTGTCACTCCAAATTTTGCCCGGGCGGGCTGTTAGGCTACTCTTTCGATTCCAACTCTAAGGGATTTTGTACGTGGAGGCATCAAGACACACGGGCGTGCGGCCATACTACCCTAGACCAGGGGAAGTTCTAGAAGTCACTTGACAAATCCAGCCTTCACACTGGTTTGAACCCAGGACCACAAGCTTCGTGTGACACCATAACTCGAGCCACCTCAGCTCATATTTTTGGTAGTCTGGTAATATTAGTTTCAGCTTCATAGCAAACAGGTCACGCCATCTTTGTTTGGCAACGAAAAACACACAGAATGTACCAGTCCCGCGGAAAGATTAACAGACTGATGTCTCGGCTCATCCAGCCCACACAGATAAAGCATCGTTAGCCATCCGAAGTGCTAACAACAAACAGTCCGACATAGAATGAGTCCATCACTTATGGTAGCAGAGGTCAACCACGAGGCAGTTGCCCACGCAATCAATTTCAATCACATACGGCGCACACCAACCTTGCGACGAGAGGCATCGCACCATTTTCTTAATCTACAATTCACACCACCACGTTGATCATAGTCGAAAACACATGCCACATGAAATCCTCAGCTCCACAGTGTCACGCCATGCATTCAATTCAAAAACTGGGCAACCAAAAAACTGATATCAGTACTACAAATGGAGGCAAAAATGCATTCGGCCACCGTCTGGCAGAAGCAAAAACAAAATGCCTCGGCTTCAAACAGTGCCCTTGCCTAGCGGCCATTTGCACATGCTTTATGGGGGGGGGGTTTGTGTCGGGGGGGGGGGGGTTTTTTTTTTTGGGGGTTTTGGGTTTTTGGGGGGGGGGGAAACGCATTAGTAGTCATCTGCGATGTACTTAGTAACTTATACAGTTCATTCACTTGGCTACCACTTATTATGACATCGTGTTGCGGGCAAAGGTTGGTTTGTCTGTTTTCAGATAACCTGCAGAGCTCCATTATTCTTGAGAACAGCCATTATATGTGGATTTTTGCTAATGTTTCTCCTCTTCGAGTCATTCGTCTGTAAACTCCAGCGGAAAGTTCTTGGGTGCTCGTCACTGCTGTGGCTATTATTGTTCACTATGTGACTAGCTTGCATGAATGTTGCCTAAATATTGTTTTCTATTCGACTAGCTTGGATGTTGCATAAAAATTGTTTACTGTTTGACCAGCTTTAACTAAATGGTGCCCAAGAATAGTTTACTGTTTGATCAGCTGTAACTAAATGGTGCCCAAGAATAGTTTACTGTTTGACCAGCTGTAACTAAATGTTACCCAAGAAAATTTTACTGTTTGACCATCTGCAACTAAATGGTGCCCAAGAATGGTTTACTGTTTGACCAGCTTAAACTAAATGGTGCCCAAGAATAGTTTACTGTTTGACCAGCTTCAACACAAACTCTGATCGTATAGCCTGCAGTTTGTCCCCTCCAGGACCGCAGTCCGCAAGATTAACTCCTTAAGGATGAGAATCCCACAAAAGCACATCTTGGTAAGCTCTGTTCAACCTTAATATTATTTGGAGCATCCGAGGGCTGCAAAGTAACCCTGAAGCCAAGACCAGGCAGGGAATGTCAAAACTATGTTCACTAAAGAATACTGCGTAAGGCACATGTTTTGCAATTTATGTCAGTTTAGGGATAAGTTTGTTGCGTAAGCTGTACGCCACCTCACAGAATCAGCCTTAGCATTTTTTTTCGACTGTTGCAGTTTTTCTAGACACATTTTATATTTAGTAGTTTGCCACTGCCTTCTGAACAGCCAGCTCTCGGTTACACTGTCGAAACCAACGGAAGACGGCACTGCAACTGGGATCAAACACGGTAGCTCGGCATTACGAAGCGCGTTCGCAACACCTAAGCAACAGACACCGATCAGTTGACAGAACGACTGAGAATGACAACAGTGTTAAGTTTAACAAACCGGCTGAAAAGTCCAATTTTAAAACTGGAAGTCATCTGTGTGCCCTCTCTGTTATGGAGGTTTCATCTTGGAAGATGTGGATTCACTGCTCTCTATTGCAATATTACTTAGTCAGGATTCAAACTCTTTTACTCTCCGTTGCTCATACCGCCGAAAGCCACGATAAAGGGCTTATGAAAGAAAAAATCTCATGCCTCATAAATCGAGCCCTGATGGGTGCAACGCCACGAAACGCGTCGACTACCCTCAAAGTCACAGCGGCCAGAACATGCTTAACAAAGATATATTTCTGTCATAGTTGTTTCAGATTCGATAGTCATTGGCAGCATGAAGAATCTGTTGTGTCTTGTGTGTTTGGTGACCACTACATACATGCCGCAGTCTGGAGCCCAACCATGCAACAGTAAGTCCCAGTCAAGTTTTTACTTTCATTAAATAGTTCACATTGTTACACGTATCAAGAAGAAGAAGAAGAAGAAGAAGAAGAAGAAGAAGAAGAAGAAGAAGAAGAAGAAGAAGAAGAAGAAGAAGAAGAAGAAGAAGAAGAAGAAGAAGAGTCATCATAACGAGACTAGGAACACTGTGAAATAGTATAAGTGTTATATTTTTTTTATTGTTCTGTTCCTTCTCTTTCTTCCTCGTCCAATTCTACTCCTCGCTCTCCTTATTCATCCATCGGCAACTGAACTGTTACCCCTTCTAAATCAACATCACGCAATTTAAATAATTCCTCCCGATCTCATCCCTTACGATAGCTACTATTTGACAAACACCATCTTACATAAGGCATCAGGTAAAACAGTTCACTTAGTATTCTTTTATTCAAATGAAGAAACCTTATATTCATCTATAAAAAAAAATTGCAAAGGCAAATCACACATCTAGGTTTACATCTACCTGTACTTAAACAATTTGCCAAATAAAAAAAATAAAAAAAGTTTCTTTAACCTAATCAAATAAATGAAGTGATCATTCGGTCCTATCATCCTCCCACTTGGCTTTCTAAACATACTCTAGAGTATTTCTATTCACCTCAGCCGATCTGTCTCTACCCTCTAAGTCTGTCAAAGTCTGAGTCTGCTCAGACTGACTGACTGACTCTCTACCCCACAAAGACATCACACAAGCGGATAACACCCGATGACACCAAGTGCCACCATGTGGATGATCACCGTGGAGAGGTCCCAGAAATCGCGTTCAGCAATTAAGCCATATTTATGGCCATGCTATATTGCGGCCCCCGGCAAGAGCCAGAGTAGGGCTTCAAAAAACGAAAAATTGCATCCTGAAAAGGATGGTGTATAACTGGCTAATAGTGGAGTCTGCTCAATCGGGTACTCTCTCTATATATCGCTGTTTGCAGATTGTTCTAGAAAGTGTGGGACACGTCGGGAACACTGGCAACTGCGCATCAAAAATACAATAACCCTATAAACTATGGAATCCTCTCGTCAACAGAGTATTTATAAGTACGAAAAGGTTGGGTCACAAGATGAAAACAATTAATTTTAGAAACTTCTAGAACGATGGACCAAGGCCAAGAGACACTAGCTAGACGTGTACCAGTTGTGTCAGTAGTTTGTTTTGGCGGAAAGGAAAGGTTCTAGGGTGATGTTGACTTTAACTTGTCTTTATTCATACGCAATTAGCGCAGTGATTGGTCTGTAAAAATATGGGACGCTCCTACCATATGCCCGATGCGCCTAAAGGGTAAAAAAAGATCTTTACCAATAAGCGCAGTGCTCCCTGTTTCAAAGATGAAGAAGCAGAAGAAGAAGAAGAAGAAGAAGAAGAAGAAGAAGAAGAAGAAGAAGAAGAAAAAGAAGAAGAAGAAGAAGAAGAAGAAGAAGAAGAAGAAGAAGAAGAAGAAGAAGAAGAAGAAGAAGAAGAAGAAGAAGAAGAAGAAGAAAAAGAAGAGTGAACGTACGAACGAACTAATAAATGAACGAACGTGCCAACTTTACTTTGAAAGGGTCACAAACTGGACGTCTGGATGTGTCTAGGCTCGCATACCTGATGTAGACCACGGGTTGGCTATCCTCCGAATAATGGTCGGTAAAGATGGCGGCCGCAAAATATCCTTTCGAGCCTAATTCACATGACTTTATTTGCGGTTTACCGGCGACTTGCGGTTTTCCCGCGGTTTTCAGGCGACTACCGCCACCGCCACGAGTCACCACGCCGCTCATGCGGCGTGGAATGGGGCTAAAATAGATGGCTAGGACCCACGAGCAGCAGCTTCCACATCTCCTGCAGCTTTGCTCGTGAGTCCTAGCCATCTAGTTTATCCCCAATCCACGTCCGTGGACTCTTGGCGGTGGCGGTGGTCGCCGGAAAACCACCGGAAAAGCGCAAATGAAGTCACCTGACTGAGGCTCGAATGGTTATTTTGCGGCCGCCATCTTTACCGACCGTTATTCGGAGGATAGCCTACGGGTCTATACAGATGTGTCTAGTCCTCGCATACCTGATGCGTCAGGGAGGTGTAAATGGACCTCCACCAACTGAGTATTCAATTCATCCGATATTTCTCTGTCATCAGAGTCAGGAGTCGGCTACGAGGGTTTGGGCTATTTCTCAATTGAGAAACCCTATACCAGCCCACAACGACGTAATGACGTTTGCCCCGAGTCACCCGACGTGATCAAGTAAGTTGTCTGCCCCTATTGTCAGTTACGCACTTTCCGTCTGCTTTTTGCTACCACTTTTTGCAGAGACTCTTTGACCCTGAAGAATTACGGCGGGATAGCTAGTGCAGTCGCCACGCACTGTGTAGGTTAGAAAAACAAAATCCGTAGCGTTAGGGACCATTCAGAACTGGGTCTCTCGCTTGTCACCCAATCGTTCTTAACCGTTCGGTCTGTTGCTCTTCCTGTGTTATTCTACAGGTCTGTAATCAATTTTCAGGTAAAGTCTTCTTTTGAAAAGGGTGCCTAAGTCGCGGGCCTAGGCACTTTGAGTTATCCCGGCTAGTTGTTATGGGCGTGTGACTATTAATTTTTTCAAAACTGACCTTAGCACCCAGAGCGGCCCAGCCTTAAATGGCATTAGGTAAATTCCGTGGGAGTAAAGGCGGCCGGCGTGATGCTGACCACATCACCCAGAAAGTATTGATTGGTCTATAAGATATAGGTCTAGTCCCATCTGACAAATACGCCAGAAAGGGTGGGACAGGATCCTTTACTTTACTTGAGACTTATCTTATTATTTCAAATAAATGTTTATGTTTAATTGCCATTCAATACATTATTATTATTATTATTATTATTATTATTATTATTATTATTATTATTATTATTATTATTATAAATCACCTCAAAACAAAACTATGATCACGATCATATAAAATATTATTAGGGATTGAGTCTCCCCCCCCCCCCCCATCTCCATCTCCCCCCCCCCCCCTCTCTCCCAACCCCCATCCCACCGTTCCCTTTCCAAATGCGGCCCCGGAATCCTGACATGAAGTGGCTAGTACTGAAGCCTAAATACTGAGGTGCCTGGATCGTGGAAGATGTAATTCAAGATCAGATTCGTCATGTGCAAGGGTGTATCACATACAGCCTACTGGGCAATCGTCTGCACATCCCAGAATCACCAGGACCTATTCATTATGTGTGTGCCATCAGCTGACTCTTTGATAAGTTACATATTCTAGACCCACGAGAGATGCTTAAATGCTGAGACATTATCAACAGCATTCTTTGTTCCATGTCCATTGGCGCCAAATTTGTGGCCTCTGATATCCTAACGTGCTGTTGCTTTATAAACTGCTTGTAGACATTTTATTAATTTGTGAAAAAGCCATTAGGACAGGTTTTATCTGATCGCCTAGTCACCTTTCTGCTAGTAGAAGTAGTAGTGGTAGTGGCGGTGGTGGTGGTAGTGGTAGTGGCGATGGTGGTGGTAGTGGTAGTGGTGGTAGTGGCGATGGTGGTGGTAGTGGTAGTGGTGGTAGTGGCAGTGGTGGTGTAGTGGTAGTGGTGGTAGTGGCGGTGGTGGTGGTAGTGGTAGTGGTGGTAGTGGCGATGGTGGTGGTAGTGGTAGTGGTAATAGTGGCAAGAGTCAAGGTTTCAACTTCACTGCAATCGCGACACCTTAAAACTGCTACATTGCTATGCCAGTGAAAGTAACACAAAACTGCTACATTGCTATGCCAGTGAATGTAACACAAAACTGCCACATTGCTATGCCAGTGAAAGTAACACAAAATTGCTACATTGCTATGCCAGTGAAAGTAACACAAAACTGCTACACTGCTATGCCAGGGAAAGTAACACAAAACTGCTACATTGCTATGCCGGTGAAAGTAACACAAAACTGCTACATTGCTATGCCAGTGAATGTAACACAAAACTGCTTCATTGCTATGCCAGTGAATGTAACACAAAACTGCTTCATTGCTATGCCGGTGAAAGTAACACAAAACTGCTACATTGCTATGCCAGTTAATGTAACACAAAACTGCTTCATTGCTATGCCAGTGAATGTAACACAAAACTGCCACATTGCTATGCCAGTGAAAGTAACACAAAACTGCTACATTGCTATGCCAGTTAATGTAACACAAAACTGCTACATTGCTATGCCAGTTAATGTAACACAAAACTGCTTCATTGCTATGCCAGTGAATGTAACACAAAACTGCCACATTGCTATGCCAGTGAAAGTAACACAAAACTGCTACATTGCTATGCCAGTTAATGTAACACAAAACTGCTTCATTGCTATGCCAGTGAATGTAACACAAAACTGCTTCATTGCTATGCCAGTTAATGTAACACAAAACTGCTTCATTGCTATGCCAGTGAATGTAACACAAAACTGCTACATTGCTATGCCAGTGAAAGTAACACAAAACTGCTACATTGCTATGCCAGTGAATTTAACACAAAACTGCTACATTGCTATGCCGGTGAAAGTAACACAAAACTGCTACATTGCTATGCCAGTTAATGTAACACAAAACTGCTTCATTGCTATGCCAGTTAATGTAACACAAAACTGCTACATTGCTATGCCAGTTAATGTAACGCAAAACTGCCACATTGCTATGCCAGTGAATGTAACACAAAACTGCCACATTGCTATGCCAGTGAAAGTAACACAAAACTGCTACATTGCTATGCCAGTGAAAGTAACACAAAACTGCCACATTGCTATGCTAGTGAAAGTAACACAAAACTGCTACATTGCTATACCAGTGAATGTAACACAAAACTGCTACATTGCTATGCCAGTGAATGTAACACAAAACTGCTACATTGCTATGCCAGTGAATGTAACACAAAAGTGCTACATTGCTATGCCAGTGAAAGTAACACAAAACTGCCACATTGCTATGCCAGTGAAAGTAACACAAAACTGCTACATTGCTATGCCAGTTAATATAACGCAAAACTGCTACATTGCTATGCCAGTTAATATAACACAAAACTGCTACATTGCTATGGTAGTTAATGTAACACAAAACTGCTACATTGCTATGGTAGTTAATGTAACACAAAACTGCTACATTGCTATGCCGGTGAAAGTAACACAAAACTGCTACATTGCTATGCCGGTGAAAGTAACACAAAACTGCTACATTGCTATGCCGGTGAAAGTAACACAAAATTGCTATTTTCGCTATCTAATTTGGAAACTTGTGAAGAAACAATTAGTCTTGTCAAAATCCAGAAGCACGTAGATGCGGTCAAGGAATGCACGTAGATGCGGTCAAGGAATGCACGTAGATGCGGTCAAGGAATGCACGAAGATGCGGTCAAGGAAAGCACGTAGATGCGGTCAAGGAATGCACGTAGATGCGGTCAAGGAATGCACGTAGATGCGTAGAATGCACGTAGATGCGGTCAAGGAATGCACGTAGATGCGGTCAAGGAATGCACGTAGATGCGGTCAAGGAATGCACGTAGATGCGGTCAAGGAATGCACGTAGATGCGGTCAAGGAATGCACGTAGATGCGGTCAAGGAATGCACGTAGATGCGGTCAAGGAATGCACGTAGATGCGGTCAAGGAATGCACGTAGATGCGGTCAAGGAATGCACGTAGATGCGGTCAAGGAATGCACGAAGCAGCCGCTACTGGTGTCATCAACATTCACTTGAAAAGGTATATTTATATAATAAAAAGAAGTAGTCAGTCGTGACAAGTTGGCCTTACAATAAAATAAAAATATTAATGCACAAGGTACTTAGCCAGATAAAAAAGCGAATAGGCCATAGGACATTTTTGGAATTTCACTGAACAAACCTCTGCAGACGCTCTTATCTTTCCTACCAGTACGATATGTCAACTCCACACAAGAGGGTCCGAGAGCCTCAAATCCTTGATGCCAGATATCCCACAGACGCCCTCAATAAGTGGACCAATTATAAAGCAGGCCCAACAATAATCCTCTTCCACGGGATTCGGGGTAAAAATGAGGACACTCCCTGGTTAAAGGTAATTTTTTAGATCAATTTTCTTTATCTGGTTGATTAGTTTATTTACTTTTTTTAAAGGCGGTCACTGTCGCGTAGTGACTATAATCTCGCCTGCCCAGCTTAATGTCTTGGGTTTGAATCTATATCGAGACAGATTTTTTAAAAGTTAACGTCTCCCAACTTGACCCAGTCTAACATCGGTATCAGATATTGTCATGGGAAGTAAAGGCGGCAGGCGAGGTGTTGATAACATCATTCACTCAGTGTAGATTGATTTATAAAATATAAGTCTAACCCTATATGCCTAGTAAGACTGATAGATTGCGCGGAACAGGGTCCATGTAAATATTCCTGATGGAGCTTGTTTCTTTTAAATTACCTTGGCTCCCAAGTCGACCCGGTCTTAAACGGGTACCAGGAAAAGTCCTGGGAAGTAAAGGCTGTCAGCCTGATGATGGCCATATGATCACCCAGTACCGACTGGTCTATAAAATATAGGTCTAACCCTGTATGCCCGTAGCCGGGTGGTCGTAACTGTTTTTAGTTGTGGCTTGACTGCACGCGAACTAAAATCTGGCAAGCTCGGGGATCAGCGGGTTGTGAAAGGGCTTGTCTAGGGCCAGAAGGGTCTCTTGGCTTCCGGATTCCGATCCCGCCGATCGCCCAGGGACAGGAGATCCCACTCATCAGCGGCGGCACCCCATATGGGCTTAGGGGCGTGGGTTTGGGCGACTGGCTGGAGCTAGATGACTTGTCTGACTGATTACGGCAATGGTACATTTCAATACTAAGACAGTATTTGATCTAAATTTTCTCCGTTAGTAAGTGTGTTAGGAACAGATTTCTGTTATGCATTCTCGTTTGGAAATGGTTTGATTGCAGGTCGCTGGAAGCGATTTACTGATCTAGTGGTATGTGTAATTTAAACGCACATGTCAACATGTTTTGATTTTTTCCACCATTGATGTAATTTTTGTGACCTCATGCTTTCGTTATCCTATTTCCTGGTTAGTTGGAGTGCTGTTTGATTATTTGACGTCTCACTGACACCAGGTTGTACACCATTGTAGTTGTTTTCTGTATTTATCTTGCGCTTCTCTGCTGGCATGGGTGGTTGATTTGTTCACGTTTTTTACAGGTTTGATCTACACCATTTATCCTTCTCTTTCTTGTTCTTGCCCTAGTCTTCCTCCTAGATGTTCTGCTGTAAAACCAAGTCTCATATACAGTTTGGTCTGGCTGCATTGTCACTAGATGACCGAACCATTTTATTCTTTGTCAAGCAATATAATTCAAACATGGTCTTAATCCAACTTTCTCTCTAATGCTGGTATTCATAACCCTTTCTCTCTAATGCTGGTGTTCATAACCCTTTCTCTCTAATGCTGGTGTTCATAACCCTTTCTCTTTTAGTGTTGTTATTGAGCTTACAGAGACAGCTCATTTCACAGGTAGTTATTTTCTGTTCAAGTGCCCTATTCATTGTCCATGTTTGGCACTGACAGCATAAAGTAGGGAAGACGATATTGTTAATTTGCTGTTTTGCCTGAAAGGGAGATATTTGGGTATCTAAGCAGCATGTAAAAATCTTCATATAAAGATTTAACATTCATAATGTTTATATACGGTGGCAAAGATGAGGACGAAAGAGCCAGAGTAAGGCAGAGATACAAGTGGAAACATAAAATCAACAAATGAATGTCCAGCAATCTGAGACGGTGCACAGTCAGATCTAGAGAGACAGACAGTGACGGAGACCAAATACAGACAAATTTTACGGTGAAGGCGGCAACTTTTGAATGTTTGATTAACTGCTTTTTAACTGACTATAATGTGCTGCAATAGAAAGGAAGGAAACGTCGCGGGGTGAATACCAGCCATTCGTGACTGTTGTATACAAGCCACTTATGCTGGATGCTGCTTTTGCGGCTTGCGTTTCCGGGACAAGATGCTGTTTCCGGGACAAGATGCTGTTTCTGGGACAAGACGCTGTTTCTGGGACAAGACGCTGTTTCCGGGACAAGACGCTGTTTCCTGGACAAGACGCTGTTTACAGGACAAGACGCTGTTTCCGGGACAAGACGCTGTTTCCTGGACAAGACGCTGTTTACAGGACAAGATGCTGTTTCCGGGACAAGATGCTGTTTCCGGGACAAGATGCTGTTTCTGGGACAAGATGCTGTTTCTGGGACAAGATGCTGTTTCCGTGACAAGACTCTGTTTCCGGGACAAGATGCTGTTTCCGGGACAAGACGCTGTTTCCTGGACAAGACGCTGTTTACAGGACAAATTGTTCAGTTTTTTCAAGACAGGACTACAGGTTACGTTGTGAACGTTTTGTAAAAGACCCATTTTTTTACACGCCATCGCGTGTATTGAGCATATAGGGCTGGACCTATGTTTTCTTGACCAGTCAGCATTCAATGGGTAATGTTGTTGGCATTACGGTAGCTGCCTTTACTTCCCAAGACTTTATCTGGTACCCATTTAAATCTGGGTAACCCTGGGAGTAGATCCAGAAAACTGTCACTCAAATCACGCGAGAGGCACAAAACAAATATTTTAAACCACGACACTGGGCTGCACCCGGTAAAAGTGAAGAAGACAATAGATAGATTGATAGAACCCTGGGAGTCGAGGTCAGTGTCAAAAACAGTCCGGTTCTGTGAGGATTCGAACTCACGACTTCCGATCCGCAGGCGAGCGTCTAACAGCGACACCACGGCGGCTTTGTAACCGTATTGGGATGACCCAGTATAACTGTGCCATAAAGCTATTCAGTTGAACTGGCTCTCTAACATTTTGCCTGTGTGATTCTCATCCCTGGGATGTTGGTGCTCCAGACTGCAAAATCTGAGGTGGTGAGGGGAAGGGGGGAGGGATCCTGAAACAAAAGAATTGCTTTGTACAATTTGCATTAAATAATATGATAAATTGTTGTCTTTATATTTAAGTTACAACTCAGATGGGTTGGACAAAATATATTTGTTTACAATACTACTACTGTTGACTTTAAATAGGAAATGGCGGATGCGCTGCTCGAGCAAGGAGACTATAATGTGATCATCGTTGATTGGTCGGGAGGTAGCAGTTTTTACTTCGGCTATTTCTTGTCCGCCTTCTCCGGAGATTTCAGTTTCCCTTTCACTCGGGCTGCAGCCAACAGCAGGGTTGTCGCAGCGCAGTTGGCCAACATTATCAGCCATCTGATTGTGAGTGTTACATTGTTTGTTTGTTTTTCTAATTTTAATTTATGATCTTATTGACTCATTGACTTCTTCTGAAAAAAAAGCACTCCAGACCACACCCCATCCCAACCCCCTCTATTGTTGTTGTTGTTTTTGAGGCTCTATTTTGTCTCGTGTCTTATTACTCCCTGTGTTGATTCCAGGGCTCTATCAGGAGAGGGAGGGAGAGGAACAGACACGCTGTCTTACTGACAAGCATGTCATAAAAGGTAACTAAAAAGGTTGCGTCCTTTAAAATCAACGTGCATCTGTCTGAGAGGCCTGGAGCAGGCTTTCTGAATATAAATAAATTAATAAAATCTGTAAACCGGATGTGCACGCAAAACTGAAGTGCTGGGACAAGTCCGAAGTGCAGAAGTGGACGAATGAGCAGTAATTTCTACCGCTGTTTCACGTGACATTTGTGCCCTACCTGCGACTTCTGTGGCTCATTTAAATAACATATTCCATCTATTCAAAGGGCGATATTGACAACAATTAAATCTTTGACATCAGAACAATGGTAGAAAAACACCTACAACATCAACGCGACCTATACCATAATTTCACTGACTTCACGAAGGCATTTGAGCGTGTGTGGTATGCTGGGATCTTCCAAAGAGTGAAGCATTTCAAGTTTGATAAGAACATCACAGACACCATTGAAGCACTTTATAAAGATGCGAACAGTGCAGTATTCATACAAAGTTACAATTGCAAATTTGTCAACACCGGTGTGGGAGTGAGACAGGGCTGCATATTATCGCTAATGCTATCCAGTTTGCACTTGCAACAGATCACAAGGGAAACATTAAAAAATCATGTACCAATTATATTTGTTAGCGAAAGATCACAATGCAATTTACGTTTTGCGGACGGCATTGATATCATGGCTGGTTCAAAAACAGAACTCCTTATACTATCCGTCCTTTTTAGGATGAATTGTTACCTTATTTGAAGCCCTACTCTGGCTTTGTCAGGGGCCGCAATATAGCCTAGCCATATATATGGCCTAAAGGCTGAACGCGGTTTCTGGAACCTCTCCACGGTGATCCTCACCTGCATGGTGGCACATTGTGTCATTGGGTGTTTATCGCTTGTGTGATGTCCTTGTGGGCTAGAAAGTCAGTCAGTCAACAGAACTTCATGAACTTACCACGAAACAAGAGACACCTTGTGGTAAATCTATACCCTTTTCCACACCTTCGGGCTGGACATATATGATTAGATTTGATACGTATAGACCAATCGGCCATAGATTATGAGAAGTGGTCAGAATCAGCACCCTTTACTTCTTATGACTGCACCTGGTACCCGTTTGAGGTTAGGTTGACCTGGGTGCTCCCTTTACTTCTTATGACTGCACCTGGTACCCATTTGAGGTTAGGTTGACCTGGGAGCCAAGGTCATTGTTTAAAAACAAAAGTCCCTCTCGGTTCAGGGCCTGAACGCACGAACTCTGGATCCGCATCGTCGAATAAGGAAAGTGGAACGAAGAGCACGCAATGATAACATTAAGAAAGCTTAGTTTAGTTTACTCGACGGATCAACATGATGGTACACTGGTGTAACTTATAAGTGCTCAGTTCTACTTCTAACTCAAGCCTGAATAAAGAATATCAGCGCAGGGCACGAGCTCCGTTGCACCGGTGAAGATCCTGAAATACTTTGGCTAGATTTTTAACTCAAAATGTTGTCCGGGCAGCGCCACTAGGCTACTCTTTTTTATATTTTTTATTGACAGCGTATTTGTCTACGTGCGTAACACTACACACGGGCGTCCGTTCTTACTACCCAGAGACCAGGGGAAATTACCAGAAGTTCACCTAGACAAATCCCACACGGTTCAAGGGCTGAAGTAGAATGCACAGATAATAAATAAATATAAATACCCTGTAGTCAGTCAACTCCTAGGAAAACTTTGTTGGGAAGTCAGTGGGTCTAATTCTGTTTTTCTTACAATGGTCCCCTGGACCCCCTCACAAGGAGAGAACTAATAAATCATGTGATTATAATTATTACTGCGCCCCATGAGGACCCACCTCAATGTTCACCTTGGCACCCCTATCGAAAACATATATATTTCCTGCAAATGATTTCCGTGCTCTGTTCTGAAATGCCACTTTCGTCTAATCTGCGGGCGGACAATTCTGCATCTTTGAGTGTATCAGTGTGTACAGACAATGAGACTATGCAAATCAAATCAAGTGCCTTGCCCACTGACCAGGGACCAGTCATCCCTGTCCACAATCTACAATCTTCACCAGAATGTGCCCATTAGTATGTTGACACCCCTCCATGCCATTGCTTAAAGAAACTTCTAGCGTTATCTTCCCCTGTCTTACCAAT